CCCACCCCCGAAAAAACCCCGCCGCCAACCTGGTACCTGCCCACAATGCCAGGCCAACCCCGAACAAAAGCGCTTCTGCGAAGAACTCTCCCGCCGCCGCGCCCCGTTGTCCATTCGCGAGATGACCAACCCCTCCGACGTCCCCCCGCACGCGAAGCGCCCGCGCCTGTCCGCCGCCGCCGCGCCACCCCCAGACGCCACCCCTTGCGCCACCGAAACCAAGCGCGGAACGACGCTCGACGGCGACGGCCGCGAGGTGAAGATCACGTGTGCGGAGGCGTTCCAGGTGTTTCAGTCGTATCGGGAGACGGAGATGCGGGAGCGGGAGCGGGAAGAGGAGGAGGAGGAGAAAAGGAAAGGGTTTTCGGCGTTTGAGATTGGGGTGGGGGAGGCGTTGATGGCGATGGCGGCCATGAAGTCGGGGAGGAAGGGGGATGTGGAGATGGGAGATGGGTGAGGGATGGAGGCATGGTATATATACAATAGGTATTAGATGAGGTGCTTTGGGATGGATGGATGGTGCTTCATGTATAATACATGTAGATAACGAATCATACGCATGATGTATTTCGAGTGGATAGAACTGAGGGTCCTTCACCTTTCATGTACTCCTCTTGCCGAAGTGCGAGTTGTATATATACTTTCCAACTCGCGTAATGAAAAAAGGGGGGGGTCAGATTATCCCAAGAGAGGTGACGCCGTATGCTTCAGACCATCAGCTCTGTCTAATTCGGGAAGGCGGTAATTGGGATTTTGATAACCAAAATATGCGCTAGACCATCAACTCTCCTCCTACAAATGGCGAGAATCCGGACCGGTTTACGAATTGCTCTGAATTGATGGAAACACGGTTCTACGTAACACAATCCAACGCCATAAACTCTAACCACCCAATCCTGCTCATCCAACGCGATTCTCCCTCCGCGTCCACGTCCGCGACGACATATCCCCCGACACCCCCACCCTGGCACCAATCACCGGATGCCCCAAGCTCTCCGCTGCCTAATCCACACCATTGAACGTTCATGCAGATTCCGCAGCTCCGCTGGTAGCTATGGGTTTGCTTTGGGAACGGTTTCGGGCCGTGGGATGGTGGGGGAGAAGCCGATTGGCTAGGACTGGGTTCTGGGGACTTTTTTTAGGAGCAGGTGCTGGGGTCGTCTTGGCGGCGAAGGAGACCATTCTGAAGTTTCTGGCGGGGATTTCGACGTTGTTGAAGGCGTCGTGTAAGCAGCGGAGTTCAACGGGGAGGCTACGGTCCGCGGTGGGGATGGATTTGCAAGTGGTGGTAGGGGTGGGGTTGTGGGGTCGTGGGACGGTGCCATGGTCGTGTGTCGAGAGGTAGATGGGGAAATGTGCTCTGAGTGCCGGGATATCGAACGCATTGATGACGAGGAAGGAATATAACTGGATGACGAGGATGCTTCGGGTTTAAGGGGAAGGGGTGAGGGAGGCTTTGATTCGTGTGCGGGTAGAACATAATCCTCCGCGAGGAGCGCACTAGGCAGTATGAGAGGGTCGGGTGAAGAAGACAGAGATTCGTTCCCTCTTTGAAACAGCTGACGGAACGTGTTGCGGAACATCGACTGGAGTGGGATCGCGAGTCGCTGGGTGGGAAACTTGATTGGATTCTGTCGCGGGGGGGTCGGCCGTAAAACCACCATCCCACGACACATCCCACTGTTGCGCCGACGATGCGAAGTGATCAGAGCTAGAAACATCGGTCTCATAACCGGAAACAACGGTCTCGCCCTGCGACACCCGGTCATTCGTACTCTCCTGTTATTTCTTGCCCCCGAAGTTAGTAAAGCGCGACAATTTTTGACGATCGGTTGGTAGGTAATATTATTTTTCATTTGGTTGGTTGAATCTGCTAGGGGTATCAGTGTTGAGTCTCAACTGCTTGGTTTGAGACCTCCGTGTTTTCAGCGTCATGCATGACAAATTTTGACGGCCGGAAGATCTGGAGTTGGTTGTCCTCCGCGCAGGCGGCTAGGAGCCACGGGTCGTTCTTATTCCAGCTGAAGTCCGCGACACGGTTGGTGAAGCCGCCGTGCATGAAGAAGCTGTTGATTCTCTAGTCAGCGATGTGGACTGAAGGGGTGAAGGGGATGACTTACAGCTCCGGGGCCCCGTCTTCCGCTTCTTCTGCAGTTTGCTCATTTCCGATTCGGTTGATATCCCACATGATCAGTCGTCGATCGTCACTACTGCTAGCGAACAGATTAGGCATCACCGGATTCCACTCCAGCTTCATAACTGCATCTTTATGGCCTTCGCAGCACTCGCTCATCTTGTTCAGGTACCGCAGATCCCAGATACCGACCGTGCTGTCTGCCGAGCCGGTCAATACGATCGGATCCCAGGTCGGGTGGAAAGCCAAGCAGTTGATCGGCTTCGCGTGCGCTTCTTTCTTGAAAAGTGCAGGCTTGTCGGCTGACTGTCGGGTGTCAATCACCTGGAATGTCAAGTCGTCCGAGACCGACCCTATCCACGACTTGTGGATCGGGTGGTATTGAACATCGTTGACAGTTGCCGAATGGTTTCGATACGTCGTCTTCGGCTTGATTGTAGAGGCGCCCTTGGTGTAGCCACCTTGCAGGTCCCAAACGCGGACGGTGCTGTCCTCGGTACCCGTCACAAGATGGCCTTCATCATGAGGACTCCAAGCAAGTCCGAACCCTTCCCTTTGGTGCCCGACGAGCTGCAAATCCATTTGGTTTTCTTCGGGAGATTTCGGTTCCAGAGGATGCTTAGTCCGGTCATAGATGAGCGCGCGACCAGTGCTGTCCATCGTAGCGATGATGTTCGCGTTCTGCGGCTGATATCGTGCCTTGTTCACTTCCCCGGGATGGTTCATCTTCTGGATGATGTTGAAGGTGAACGGCTTCCTGGCGTTGCCGTGACCGCCGACTTCCCCGGATTGTTCATTGAAGTCGGTGATGCTTGGCTTGCCGGGTTCCGGGATTTCAGTCTGTGCGATCTGGAGATAGTTATTCGTACCATCCGAGGTGTTTGTGCCGATGAGCATTCGATGCTGGTAGAGTCCATCCCCTCCAGGTGCTCTGGACCGTATTAGATAGTCCTTTGCTTCGATGCCGCATCGAACTTACTCCTTCCTGTCTGGCAGCCATTGTGTGGTAAGAGATGGCCACTCAAGAGCACGGCTGGTGAATTTGTTAGCCTATACTATTCTCGAACTGATATGACTGCTGGGGAAGCTCACGCATAGATGAGGTCATAAAGGAGGACGGAGTTCTTCTTCCATATCTTGTACTCCTCATTGATGATCTTCTGTTCCCGGTATGGATCGTCTCTGATAGAGTTAGGGTCGATCTCCTCTAGAATATGGTCAGGACTAGTCATGTAGATATCGATCGGGATGCGCACCATCATATCCTCCTTCCATGATTGCTATCTGATGTAGAGTATGGGACTGCTCAGGTTTGTGATGCGTTGTGTCGATACAGTGGTGCAGATGTGTAAGTAGGTGGGAGGATGCGATACCGTAGGTAAGCTATTTTAGCAGAGGTTAAAGCGGAGCGAAGGTGGAAATAAGTGCAGTAGGTCTTGGTTGAAGCTGAGGGATGGTGGTGTGGAAGCTCTTTCCAATATTAGAACGCGTTTCTCAACTTTGGACGCGTTCCTCAGATGATTATGGGCACGTGACCCGCCATAGATCTCACAGACCCATTTCCTCATACCATGTTTTATATTATGTTTTATATTATGTAATTATCACGTGCTTTGTGCTGAATGTTTCCCCACCGACCACCCACAAGTCACTCACGTGACCGCCTCTCACCAACTTCACTCAGCTTCATTGCGACAACTTGACTCTTTCCTGGATCAAGGACCTCTGAGTCGAGAATCTACGTCACTATCATAACCGCGCCGCGAGCGCTTAATCGCATCCTACCTCTAGAGGAGTTCACGGCTTGCCACCTTTCCGCGGACTCAATACCCAAGCCTCTCATCATTTGAGGCATCCCATCCACCATCGTTTTTGGCCAAACCACAGCTCCACGTTGATTATTGTTGAGACACAGCCATCATGGGTGTCCCAAAATTCTTTCGCTGGCTCTCGGAGCGGTATCCCACCATCTCACAGCTGATCGCGGAGAACCGAATCCCCGAGTTCGACTGCCTTTATGTATGTCGCCTCACCGTATGGGATGGCCATGACTGACTTGAGGGGACACAGCTCGACATGAATGGAATCATCCATAACTGCACGCACAATGATTCCGACTCGCCAACTTTCCGCATGACGGAAGACAAGATGTTCATCGCGATTTTCAACTACATCGAGCATCTGTTCGGAAAGATCAAGCCTAACAAGCTGTTCTTCATGGCCATCGATGGCGTGGCCCCTCGCGCGAAGATGAACCAGCAGCGTGCTCGCCGATTTCGTACCGCTTTGGACACCGAACTTGCTCGCGAGAAAGCAATCAGAGAGGGTCTAGAGATGCCGACGGAAGAGGCATTCGACAGCAATTGCATTACGCCTGGGACAGAGTTCATGGCAAAGCTTACGCAACAACTCAAATATTTCATCAACAAGAAGGTTTCGGAGGACAAAGACTGGCAAGGCGTCGAGGTCGTCCTTTCTGGTCATGAAGTTCCCGGTGAAGGGGAGCACAAAATCATGGAGTACATCCGACTGGCAAAGTCGCAACCGGACTATGATGCCAATAGACGGCATTGTTTGTATGGTCTTGACGCCGATCTGATCATGCTTGGCTTGTTGAGCCACGATCCGCATTTCTGTCTGCTTCGAGAAGAAGTTACATTTGGCCGGTCGAACCAGAAGAAATCCAAGGAATTGGAGCACCAAAACTTCTTCCTTCTTCACCTCTGCCTTGTTCGCGAATATCTGGAGCTCGAATTTCAGGCTCTGAAAGAGCCCGGAGCATTGTCCTTTAACTTCGACATGGAGCACATTATCGATGATTTCATTCTCATGGCGTTCTTCGTCGGCAACGACTTTTTGCCGAATCTTCCCCATCTTCACATCAACGAAGGTGCACTGTCACTCATGTTCAATGTCTACAAACAAATCCTACCCAAGGCGAAAGGGTACATCAATGAAGGCGGGACTATCAACATGGAGAGACTCCTGCTTCTTCTTGATGAATTGTCCAATGTGGAATATCGGTTCTTCGAGTCGGAAAACTCGGATGCATCGTGGCTGAAAGGAAAGCAGAAGATGACCGAAGAAGAATTTGCGCAGCGCTCCAAGAAGGGTCGGAAACTTGTCATCTCCCCGGAGCAGAAGGTCTTGTTGAAGAAGATCAAGAAGTACGTCATCAGCAGTCAGGAGAATCCAGCGGAAGCTGGCTCCTACGACCTGCCTGCAACTCTTCCTGCACGCGATCGCGAGTTCGTAAAACAACTCGCAGACAGCTTGCACCTGCAATGGACGACTGTGGAGGAGGAATCCGGCGATCGGCATCTGCAGCTCAACCTCCCTCCGAGGCTCGAAGGAGACGAGGATGATGAGGCTGAAGCGGATAATGAGGAAGCATCTCTGGCCCTTTTCAGCGTCTTCCGAAAATACGAAGGCGCGAAAGTCGTGGACATGAGCATGGAAGACAATCAAGCCGAATTGGAGAAGAAATACCAAGAGGAGTTCGTTAAGTGGAAGAATTCTCATTACCAATCCAAATTTGGTTGGGGTCTCGACAATGAGGAAGAGTTGAGGAAGCTTACGGAGAACTATGTTCAAGGACTTCAATGGGTCCTCTTCTACTATTATCGAGGAGTTGCTTCATGGCCGTGGTTTTACGCCTATCATTATGCGCCTATGATTTCGGATGTCAAGAAGGGTCTTGGAGCCGACATGAACTTCAAGCTTGGTCAGCCATTCCGACCTTACCAGCAGCTGATGGGCGTCCTTCCGGATCGCAGCAAGAAGATTGTTCCGGAAGCATATCATGACTTGATGACGAACAAGGATTCTCCTATTATCGATTTCTATCCTCGCGACTTTGAACTGGATATGAACGGAAAGAAGCAGGAGTGGGAAGCGGTGGTTAAAATCCCTTTCATTGATGAGAAACGACTTCTTCCCGCCATGGCAACGAAGGAGAATTTGCTCACTGAGGACGAGCGAGCGAGGAATGGTTTCGGCGTTTCTTTGAAGTTCACTTATAGTCCGGATTTGGACTATGTCTATCCCTCTTCCCTGGCCGGAATCTTCCCGGATTTGGCGCATTGCAAGTGCATTGAAAACATCTTCGAGCTGCCAACGATGGATGGCTTGGAGGTTTATGTCGGCCTGGTTGAAGGCGTTCAGCTAGGAGCCGAGGCGCTTGCTGGGTTCCCGAGCTTGTATACCCTTCCTTGCACCGGTACACTGGGATTCCATGGCATTACCGTGTTTCAACAGGAGTCCCGGAATGAGAGCATGGTGGTTACTGTGTCTGATTCCGACGAACGCGGAAAGGCTTCAACGGCAAAGGAACGCCTTGGGAAGAGCGTATTTATTGGATATCCCTTCCTCCAAGAAGCGAAGGTAGTCAAAGTTACCGATGAACTTTTGAGCTACACCCTGAATGCGAATGGGCAGTTGATGCAGTCTCCACTGAGCCCGAGGGAAATGGAGAATTTCCAGAAGAAGTCGGACAGGGTCGAGGCAATGTACAGCAAGAAGCTGGGCGTCGTCATCGGCCCGGTGGAGTCTATTGTCCATGTGGAACCCCTCCGTGGTCTGAAGAAAACTCCCGATGGGGCTACAGTCAAAGACTACGCCGAGGTTCCAGGCATTGAAACGGAGTATGCGGCCCAAACCGTCGTGGAATCGGTGTTCAGCGAAGATCAGCGATTCCTCGAGAAAGCAGCCGTTCCATTCGAGGAAGAGTTCCCCATCGGTGCCCGCGCTTTCTTCCTTGGCGAGATGGCATACGGCCGACCGCTCGAAGTTGCGAGCCACCTCTCTGCGACCCATGCGGAAGTGCTGGTCCTGACGCAAAAGGGCAAGGAGCAAGAGTTTGGGCGTGACATCGTCCGTATAGCGGAGCAACAAACGAGATACACGCCGTCGTTCGCGGTTGCGCGGATGCTTCATCTTAGTCCCCTGGTGTTGAGCAGGCTGACGTCGGCATTTTCGGTCAACTCCAGTGGACTCCGCCTGAACTTGGGGCTCAACTTGAAGTTCGAGTCCAAGAAGCAAAAGGTCCTTGGATACTCTCGCAAATCAACCTCCGGGTGGGAGTACAGTCCAAAGGCAGTCGAGCTGATCCAGCAATACATGATCCGATTCCCGGAGTTCATAGCTGGAGTGAGTGCGAACCCGAAGGGCGATCTCTACGAGGACACCGACTTCTACCCTCAAGATGTCGCTGCGGCGAAAATGAAAGAGATCGGCCAATGGCTGAAGTCCATTGAAGCCAAGAGCTTTGAACGTGTTTCCCTGGAAGCCGAGCAGCTCGACTCCGATGTTGTGGCACAGATTGAGCAAAAGGCGGACCAGATCAGCCAGAACTCGCCTCCGTTCGAACGGAAGCGCATCAAGAGCGTTCCTCGCAATGCCATCCTCAAGCCATCCGACGCGGAGCAACGCATCGGTCCTCAGCGTTTCCAACTCGGCGATCGTATCGTCTACGTCCTTGACTCCGGTCGTGTCCCCATTGGTCTGAAAGGAACTGTGGTCGGCATGACCCGCACGTCGCGGACGATGTTCCTGGACGTCGTGTTCGATCATACATTCATGTCCGGATCGTCCCTCGGTGAGCGGTGCTCGCCATTCCGCGGATCCACCGTTCCAGCCGAGAGTGTCCTAAATCTCACCGACAAGCAAGCCATCGTTTACACGTCCGCTTCCTCTGCTCGAAATCCAAACCAAGCCGCCGAACCGCTTACGGTGCCTGGCTACTACGGTGCTCCTGCCGCCGCCGGTGGTGCAGGCCAATACCGCGCCGCCCCATCACCCGCGCCGCTTCGCGGATCGTTCCGCGGTGCCTTATCTCGAGGCAACAACGGCACGCCTCGAGGCGGTGCCCGAGGGCAGTTCCAACAATCCCTCCCCTTCCGCACCGCCGAGCAAAACACCCCGCCCGCCAACGAAAACGGCACCGTGTCCAACAGCCGCGGCCGCGCCGGCTACGCCCCCAGAAACTTCCCCAACTCCTCGCCCGCCCACCCCGGCCAAAACGGCCACATCCAGCGTGGCCGCGGCCGCGGCGGGCTCGGCTCGGGGTCCGCGCCGCATGTCAACAACACGCAGGGATTCGTGGTCACGGATTTGGATAACCCGGCGGAGGGCATCGTGCCGAACAATCCGAACTTTCAGCCGCAACAGTATAACTCGGTGCCGCCTCCGTCGACGCTGCATCCGAATCAGGGGCGCGGTCGCGGGGGGTTTGGCGGGGGGAGGGGGAGGGGGTTTAATGGGGGAAGGGGGAGGGGTGGGCCGAGGGGTGGGAGAGGGCGTGGACAGGCGCAGTAGGGTTCCAACTCGGACGCGTTTGAGAACTAGTGGTGGAAATTCTTGCGAAGAGGTGGTTGGCAATGTCTACAGTAGTGAGGCTGGCTCTCATGAACGGTCTACTAGTTAAGGCATATTGAAAGGACTGGCCGACTGCGGATCGAAGACAGTATCGATCGCATGAGTATGTCGTGGGATCGGCGATGCCGACTAAGTCGGTCAGATTCAGAAACTATCGATGTTTCTGCTAATGCCACCGCCACGGAAAATTTGCGAAAATTTGCGAAAAGCGGTAGATCTCGTGATGATACTTCATGCTCTGCTTCGTCTACATGCGCCGAGACTCCGAAGACGGAAGGATTGCCTACTCTCTATCGCAACAGATCTCGAGTCGTTCAACAACTTCACGACCAACCGAGTATAGTCACCCCAAGTGGTCCCGAGTAAGAATGTTCAAAGACGCCGCAATGTCGCCGGTACTCTGTTTCCACTGCATGTCCTGAGCATACCATCCACCTTGAATGTTCGCCAAGACGTCTTCATCCCCATCTCCGCACTCTTCATCGCGCCCATGGTTGTCAGGGCCGATGGCAGCCTTCAACGACAGCTCGCATGTGGTCTGGCGTGAAGATTTGCCTTCGATGACTATGTAGATGATACCTGAATCCATCGACCAAGTAGAATAGGTAGCACGACCGGGAAGACCGGTTCGTTTTAGACAAAACTCGCGGGACAGGTGACCACAGTTGCGTCGATCGAGCTCCAACCTGGCACTCCTTCATTGTACCTCAACCGAACCGCCTTCACCCTCTATGACCACGTTTGTATCCATCTTTTTCCAACTGTATAACGACAAGCGGACCGCAGCGTTGTAGCCAAACGCAGTATTCGCCGCCCCCGACACGAGGGACCATCCGACGATTGACGTCAGAACCGCTAGCCATATTAAGGGACCAAACTCTCCGCACGACCACCCTTCATTATTGCCTGCAGTGAGTGCAGCATGTCGCCCACCTCTTCAATCCAGTACGCCATTATTCAATCTAGCGCAACCCGTGCTTGATAAGGCTTTGGACTATTCGCGAAAGCGGTCGGCCCACCTTCGCTTTCCTGCGTACGACCCGAGCTCCGGTGCGACATCACAACCCGGCCCCGAACCCCCAGTAAAGCGCTGCAAACGCCCTCTCTCGTGGCCTTATATCACCAACGACCTTGAAAATCCATCTCCGCCTGCCTCACTTCCCCCGAGCGCGCACCAGCCGCCCTCGTCCCTATTATTCCCATCCCGCCGCGGACCAAACCCCCTGCGTCCACCCCTCCCGCCGCGCTTCTCCAGCTCGGAGGCGGCTGTGAGGATGCTTAGCAAGACACACGAAGATGAGAGTGTCATAAAGACGGTCACATTAGCCCGCGGCACCTTCAGCGGACAAAGCCCCCCGGGGATCGGCCCGTCGAGTGCTGCGAGGAGCACAACGGATCGGTCGAGCTTCGGAAGCATATCGAAGTCCTCCTCGTCGCCGGAGACTGGAGATGGCGCGCGGACACTTACTCAGATCGGGATACTAGAGTTGATGGAACAGGATACGAGACCGACCTTCGTGGTGGATTTGGCCGAAGCGAGGAACTACAATTCGGGTCCGCTGCACGTCATTTGGGCAAACTCGGCCTTATCAAGAGGTTGCCCGGGACTGCTGGAAGCCGTTTCGGGCGAGCTACGAGAATCGTCAAATGGCAGCGATTTACCTCACCCAAAAGACTTCGGGCAGTTCAAATCATGGACGCTGTCGGCTGTGATGATCGGGGATGGTCTGGATCCTCTGCAGCCAACCATCTATTTCAAAGACATGACATGGTCGTGCTCGACGATTCGGAAACGGTTGCGTGTTGTGAGCGCGCTCAAGGTCTTACCGAGGATACAGTCCAGAGCAGCATCAGCAAGAGTATCGCCAGCGATCGGGCATCATTCTCGTCCTTTTATGGAGCCTCTTCGGAGCATTTCTTCCGCCACCAACTTAACCACCGTCCTCCAATCCGCCGAAGAGCCCCAAGACTACTTCGGTGGTGCAGGCTCTCTAGCAGCTACCGTATGCCTTTCACCACCTCCCTCCGAACCAAAAACATCCTCCCCCCACGAAATACCTAGCTCTATAATCGCCTCGGAGCCTACTTCACAACCTCACTCAACCGCGACCGAAATCTCGAAAAGCCCTCGATCTCCCAGAACGCCTGGTTCCGACAACATACACCCTATCAGGACACTAAAAAACCAGATATCCTCTATCTTCGAGACCCACCCCTCCTTAACGAATGAGTGCGTACTAAGTGCCGCTGCCTCTGCCGATATTGACTCCTTTACTAGCCCCTCGTATGGGACCTTCGGTGCGAACCTCCCCTCCGGTAATCGAGACGATACGAGTGCTCTACAAGACGAAGACAACATTGGCGATATCGGCTTCTTCGACTGGACTCGACTGTCCCCGACAGTGTCACTGCCCACACATATCCAGTTCGCACGCGATCGGGACTGGGCATCCACCAGCCTCGGTCCGATGGACTTTTGGCCACCGGACTTAAGGCAGATGTGCAATCTTATCATGGCAAGCCCTCATCCCGCCGCAATGTATTGGGGAGAAGACCTTGTCGCGATTTATAACGAAGCATACGTCCTACTTGCCGGCCAGAAACACCCGGAATTGATGGGCCAGAGCTATAAAGCCGCCTGGGTCGAGATTTGGGACGAGGTCAAGGATGTTTTCCACAGCGCTCGAGACACCGGGCAAGCGACAATGAAGGACGATGATTGTCTATTTATCATGCGGAATAGCTTTCTAGAGGAGACTTACTTCTCTTGGTCGATCATCCCCATGGTTGGTAGCGATGGGACTGTGACCGGTCTTTACAACCCGGCGTTTGAAAAAACCAGACGAAAAATCGCTGAACGACGCATGTTCACGCTTCGGGAAGTTGGTGAGCGAACGGCGACAGCGAGGGATGTCAAGTCCTTCTGGGGACTGGTTACGGAAGCGCTTGCCACAAACGAACGAGACACGCCATTCGCACTCCTCTACTCCGTTAGCGACGAATCCGATCGAGAGAGTAGTAGCATCCACTCCAACAGCGCCATGGAAGACAAACATTGCTTTCTTGAAGGCGCACTTGGCGTACCAGACGGACATCCGTGCGCTCCGAAACAAATCGAGTTGAAGAGCGGAATGGAGGGGTTTGGGCCATTCTTCCGTGAATGCATGAACACCGACAAGCCTGCTCTACTACACATTGCCTGGGATACGTCGGTGAAGAATGGCGATGGCGCTGAAATTGGCGAAGAGCGGTTTGGAGAAATTCCGGCGGCAACGATGGAAGGGATTCAATGGAGAGGATTTGGCGATCCCTGCCGGTCGGTGGTGGTGTGTCCTGTGCATCCGACGACTGGCGAACTGATCTTGGGCTACCTTGTGCTCGGGGTCAATCCTCGTCGACCGTTCGACGATGATTATAGCCTATTCCTACAGCTTTTGAGTCGACAATTGGCCACTTCTCTGGCTTCGGTTGTCCTTTTCGAAGAAGAGATCAGAAGAGGGAAAAAGGCAGCAAAAATTGCCGCGTTGGATCACATCGAGCTATCCCAACAACTTGCTGCTCGGACACAAGAAGCAAGGGATATCGAGACGAGGTTCACGCGCATGGCGGAGTTCAGTCCTGTGGGACTTTTCATCGCGAACTCCAATGGGAACGTCGTTTACTGCAACGACGCCTGGTTTGAGATCACCAAGGTTCCGAAAGAGGAGGATTGCTTTGATAAGTGGATGGATTCCGTCAAAGAGGAGGACCAGGAACGAATCCGGGGATTATGGAAGCAGCTGGTCGAGAACAAGACGGCTGTCACTGCCGAGTTTCGATTCAAAGCGCCCTGGCAGGACCAGAAGGGCAACACGACGGACGGCACTTGGGTACTATTCAGCGCGTACCCCGAACGATATGCCGCGGATTGCGTGGGATATCCGGCTGGAAGCTTGAAGAGCATCTTCGGTGTGATAACCAACATCAGCCAGCAGAAATGGGCGGAAGATTTCCAGAAGCGCAAGATGGAGGAGGCCGTCGAGCTGAAACGGCAACAGGAGAACTTCATCGACGTGACCAGTCATGAGATGAGGAACCCGCTAAGTGCGATCCTGCAATGCGCCGACGAAATCCAATCAACCTTACATGGTTTCATCGAGCAGGAAGACCGCGTGATGGACAAGCATGTTGTGCAGGACAACATCGATGCGGCGGAGACGATCGCACTTTGCGCCATGCACCAGAAGAGAATTGTGGACGATATCTTGACGTTCTCCCGATTGGACTCTGGATTGCTCATCGTGACTCCTATCGACGTCCAACCGTTAACCATCGCTCAGAAAGCGGTCAAGATGTTCGAAGGCCAGCTACAGAACGCCGACATCCACATGAACTTCATCATCGATCCATCGTACCACAAACTGGGCATCGACTGGGTTAAAATGGACCCCAGCCGCGTCCTCCAAATCTTCATCAACCTCATCACCAACGCCATCAAATTCACATCCGAAGGCCCCCAACGCACCATCACCCTCACCATCGCCGCCACCACCGAGCCGACGCGCGACCGCGGCCGGGAGGTGCCGTCCAAATCCTCCCCTGACTTGCCCACCTGGGTCGATTACTTCCCGACCCGCTCCCAGCGGCCTGACATCACCGACAGCAGCCCGGACTGGGGCACTGGCGCGCCCGTGTACATCCACTTCGCCGTGCAGGACACCGGAAAAGGCCTCACGGAAAACGAGAAGAAGATGCTATTCCTCCGCTTCAGCCAGGCCAGTCCGCGCACGCACGTGCAGTACGGCGGGTCGGGCCTGGGACTCTTCATCTCCCGCGAGCTGACCGAGCTACAGGGCGGCGAGATCGGCGTCGCGAGCGAGGCGGGCAAGGGTAGCACGTTCGCGTTCTACATCAAGGCGCGGCGCTGTGAGAACGCGGTTGAGGAGATGGTCGTTCCGGTGCCGCTGGCGGTCGATCGGGAGGGTAGCCAGTCGAGGGCGGGGAGTCGCGGGCCAGATAGCGGGTCGACGTCGAGAGTGCGGCTGGATGGACTGTCACCCGCGCGGGAGCCGGCGTCGAGGAAGAGCTGGCACGTGCTGATCGTGGAAGATAACCTGGTCAATCAGCGGGTACTGGTTAAGCAGTTGCGAAACAAAGGGCTGGCGATCTCCACGGCGAACCATGGTGGCGAGGGGCTCGAGGTGCTGAAGAAGAGTAAACTTTGGCACAGAAATCGGACGAAGTCCGAGCGGGAAGCGCCGCATATTGATGTGGTGCTCATGGATCAGGAGATGCCGGTCATGGACGGGTTAGAGGCCACGAAAGCGATTCGAGAGTTGGAAAGGAAAGGGGAGCTGCTCGGACATGTGCCGATCATTGCGGTAACGGCAAATGCGAGGAGCGAACAGGTGAAGGCTTTGTTGGATGCGGGATCAGTGAGTCTCCCTTCTTGATACATGGTCGTGTTGCAGTTACTAACCCAAGCGTAGGACGATGTCGTCTCCAAGCCATTCCGGATTCCGGAACTCATACCGAAGATTGAGGAGCTGGCCGACAAGTTTACGAGGGGGGTTTGATTTGGCGCTGCAATCTCATTTATTGGCATCTAAACCATTGGCAAACGAAACATCACGTTGGTTTTGGTCATGTCTTTCCTCGGGTATACATCTACAAGTATGCATATGGACGGCGTTATTGGGCTTCTGATACCAGAACAAGATCACGGCGGAATGGAATCTCGGCACGCATCCCGTGCATCTAGCGGATATTTTGTCGGCATTGCCGATTACGGACCCGGCGTACAGGTCTTGGTTATGAACACGATTAGACGAGAATAGATATCCTGAGTGGCATACCCTTTATCTAGGCAGCGTTCCTGCATTCAAAGAGAGAAACTTAGAACCATGTAGCTCCTTTCAGGACAAAGGTCACTCCCCACCAATCAAACATCGTCATCGATTGAACATACGCTCATCCTGTAGAGGTAAATGTTTTGTCTGTGCCCTCAATGATTCCTCTCCACAATCTCCCTCGCAAATTGCGCAAACGTTACCCCCTCATCCACCTCCTCCTCCAAATTCGGCTGCGTAAACACCGCCAACGTATTCCTCGCCACCCTCGCCATCCCCTCCCCTCCCGCCCCCTTCCCCAGCGCCGCCCCCCTCACAAAATGCGGCACCGCTCGAAACTTCCCCTTCGTGATCCGCTCCAGCGCCTCGCCCGTCTGGAACGCCAGACAATCGCGCGGGATTCCGACTTTTGTCGTCTGCCCCGTGCGAGAGCGGATGTACAGCCCCGCGCGGGGGTCGGGGGAAGCGGGAAGTTCAGGGAGGACGGGAACGGCGCTGCTGGGGGAGAGGGTGGGTGGGCTGGCGGATTCGTCGATGAACATGGCGGAGGTGAGGCCGGTGAGGCAGCCATGGTCGAGGTGGGTGGCGCACCAGTCGTCTTCGTCGTTGCCTGTGACGTCTCCGGTGTTCGCACCGCTGGAAGATGAAGGAGGGAAGTAGTGCAGTAACCGTGCCTTGGTGCTAACGCTCGTTTTCACGACGTGCGCCAGGTATCCCTTTTTATACCCATCGATCTTCGCTTCGGCATATTGGTCACAAGCGCGGGCGACCAGCACGGCGACGTCGATAATCAAGTCGCACAGTTCGTGAAAGGTCGCCTCGAAAGCTTCGAGGATTGCTTCCGATGGCCAGACATTTGGCGCGGTGTACTCGGGGAACCCTGGGAATTTCTTCTCCAGATCAGCGCGCGCAGTATCGAAGCCGGAAGCACAGTTCACGTAGTAGGATCCCTTCAGCGTGTCATATTTGCCGTCTTTGAGCGTCTCCTTTCCGCAGGACCAGCCGACGAGATAGTGGGATTGTGGGGATTCAAGCTTCGCTAGGGTACCGTCAGTTCACAATTATGGTTCATCAATTTAGTATTTATTTGTCTAAACTCACACAATTCTTCGGCTGGTAAATTCGCCAAATATGAAGCGTACGACAGCAACTTCGCCCGCAACTCCGCAAATTTCGTCGGAAGATGTTTTACCACGATAATCCCTAACGATGAGGGCCCAAAGGCATCCTCAAGGCTATCGAAAGACACAACCCCTACATGACCACAACTAATTAACCATCATGATCAGTTTCCTCATCAGGAGATCGGAGTTAGCGATGAGGCGCCCTACCTTGCTCGAGCTCCGAGAGGCTCACGGCCACTGCCTGCTGTGCTGAGTCCTGCATGGCTGAAGGCTACTGGTAACGTCGGCGATTGTGATTTGATGGCGAGAGAGAAATGCGACCCAGAGTCATTAACATTATTACGAGGCCTGACGCGTTTCCGGTGCGATCAAGTGTGCGGGGCAATGGAATCGGCATGCTGATGACGCGGCGGTGGTGATGCCTCCGAAAGCCGACGACATGGATGATACGGCCGCAGCCACCACTAGTATAGCCTCCATCGGGATGTGGAAGAGCTGTCCTTTTCTTTTCAGGACATAATATAGCTGTGAGGATAAGCGGACCTATAGTCTTTTTCTCTTTTATTCCGGGGTTGCCTTTTATTTCACCATCGAGTCTACTCTGCAAATGCGTAATCATACCGCGTCAGCTCCTACTCCCTCATAGAGTTGAGCGACCATATATCCCCAGCCATGGAGAAGTCTACGCCCACCGAATCCCGCAATCCGGATCATTTTATCCTAGACGATCATGATTCTGACTACGAGTCACACTATTCACCGATGTTGACCCCACAGAGCAGTCAGTTAGGGGAAGTTCCCGACCTCCCTCCTTCATATGAACAGGCACAGGCAGAGTTGGAGCAACAGGCTTCGAATCTACAAGTGTATCGAGTGGTGCTTCAAGATGGATCTCAACACGCAGCCCGTGGAGAACATGATCCTTCGAATGAACATCTCCATGTCGCAAACGGTGTAAGAAGCGGCACGACAGCGCCGATTCCGGTGCTATCAGGTCCCCAAAGGGACAGCACAGCGGCTCCAATTCCCGCGGCTGGGAACCACAGCCCAGAGAACCCGCAGGGACAAGGAGATGTTAGACCTCCTGCTAGCCTTCTGGATACCGCATTGTCTTTCGCTCAGCACACCCCAAGCGAGGATACACGTTTCGCCCCGAGGCTTTCTCAACCGGTCGTTATACCGCAACTCATTCTCCCTCACACTTCCACCTCTGATAATGGAGGCTTACCTACCTTTGCACGCGCATACTCCAAACCTCTCCACGCTCACGATATCTCCCCTCAAGACTTTGTTGCATTCCTGGATGGCCTAAATGCACTTGCAAAGGCGCCTATCAATGGCGAGGTGGTTCGAGACTTCCTCTATAGGGCCAATACGATGTTCTTCGTACCCCGTGGATTGCACGTCCGTATCTCTGCGCTTGGCGAGCTCATCGCATTGTTGAATAGAGGTTCAGGGGCTCGAGGAAATGTTGATGAGTTGATGGCAAAGCTCATGCAGGAGGAGGAGGATATCCGAGCTTCCCTTACACCTGGTGCGGACGGGACAGGATCTGCCGATGGCATTACCAACGCCGTAAAGCTGTCGAGAACCCTCGAGCCGCTTGCTGCGACGCTGCTCTTTGAAGTCCCAGAAGCGGGGGCTGCAGCTGTTGCGCTCAGGGCGATGATTGATAGGATGGGTACTCTGAGCTTAGGAAACGAAGCCGCAAGCCCGAACGGAGGGAATGCATCCCGAGAGGAGCGACCGGTCACAGTCCATGAACTGTCCAATGACGCAGCGTCAGAGAATACCGGTTTACTATTGGACATCGACCGTCCTTCATCCCCGGTACCAAGCTACCACACAATTCCGACTGAGATGTCTGCTCAGGACTTCTCTACACAACGCCAGCCGCCCTCAGACGAGAAACGACCCATGCCCAACGCCCGCACACAGTCCTGGCAGGAATGGGGCGAAGATATCGGCAAGCGGTGGGGCGACTGGGGCCAAGATGTCGGCAAACGGTGGGGGACGTGGGGTGAGAATTTCGGCGCGAGGGCCGAGTACTTCGGTGACGATATCGGGCGACGAGCGGAGAAATGGGGCGAGGGTGTCGAGAATAAGTTCGCGGGTCCATCTAAGAGAGGGTGCTACGGGAAAGAGAAGGGGAGAGCCGGCTCAGTGCCGTTCGGATCACCGTTCGGCCCAGGTCATGGACCCTTTGCACGTGGTGGACCCTTTCCACACGGTGGTGGACCCTTTCCACACGGTGGTGGACCCTTTACACGCAGTGATGGCCCATTTGGACGACCACATGGGCAGGGTGGGTGTGGTTCTCGTCCATGGAGTGGTGCCGGATATGGAGGAAGAGCTTTTGGAGGTCGACGGGGCAGCTGGGGTGGTCAAGGGCGAAGGCGAGGATGGAACCAGCATGACCGCGATGGCGACGATTCCGGAGATGAATCCGATTCATCCAGCGCATCCAGCTCCAGCTCCTCCTCGGATGGTTCCTCGCGTCGTGATGGTCGCCGAAGCGGTGAGCAACGGGGTCGTCGCAGCTATCATCCTGATCGCGGTGCTGTTCGTGGTGATCATAACCCTCTTGCGTCCCACCCTGCATCGTCTCCCATGCCTGGCGCATTCCCTCCTCATCCGCCTCCGCCACCCATGCCCGCAACGCCAGCTGTGCCTTCATTGCCGGCGCTGCCTTTTGGGCTCACTCGACCGCCCATGCCAGGCTCATTCCCAGCCCCGCCACAACCCCCCTCCCCCCACGGACACGGCCGCCGTGGCCGTCGACGTGACCGCAAGCACAAAGATGCCACTTCCAAATACACCGAGAGGATCACCGCGATTGAAGAAGCCGCCGCCGCCGCACTTGCGGCTGGGATCCCCGACTCGGAAATATATGCGGAGCGCACTAAGGCACTGGAGAAAGCGGCATTGAGGCTCAATAAGCGGATGCGGAAAGAGGTGGGCCATTCGGAAAAGAAGGCGCTGAAAGAGGTGTGGAAGGCGAGGGTGCAAGGGTTGACGAGGGAGGATAAAAAGCGGATGAAGCAGCTATGGAGGGAGCATATGGGGCGGGGGTGGCGGCCGAGGGGGGTTGATGCACGTGATGAAATGGAGGAGATGTGGAAGATTTGGGAGAGAGTGAGGGATGGGGTGGATGGGACGGAGGGGCAGACGCAAGGTATTGAGATTGGGGCGAGGAGCGGTGGTGAACGGGGATCACAAGTGACGCAGGAGGTGGGGATTACTGGAGTCCAGACGGATAAGGGAGTTCATAGGGAAGATAAGGAGTTGATGTGGGTTGTGGTTGAAAACTTGGGGGGTATGTGAGTTAAGGTTGGGGTGGTGATTAATGTCGGAGGGTCCTAACTGATCTTGTACCAACTCAACTTAACTATAAAGAATTTATGAATATCAGCTTAATTAACCGCGACCGTCTTTACTGTGCTGATACGATGGATCTTACCTTCGTCCAATATAAAATATTGCAAATATTGCGGATTACGGATTACCAAGGCTGGTTTTCTTAGGGGCAATTTTCCGTTTTCCTAACCCTAATGCTTTCTAGATATGTAGCTGCAATCCGCGAGAGCGGAAGTAGTGGTTCCCAGCTGTGAACAACAATTGAGGACAAAAATAGGGCTAAAGCCGGCAATCCGCCGTAGCGCTAGCGTGGTTTTCTAAAAGAGAGCTGAGGTTTTCCCTACGGGGGATTTTGTCTATAGAAGCGATACAGCCTGCATGGACTAGAGAAGATTGTATCACTAGATAGGACTGTATCAGGCGCTAAATAGACGAAATAATATATGTAGATGCATTTATCATCCAAAGTCTCATTTAAATAGTGCTCCATACTTCATAGTGATCTGAATTTAGTTTGAATGCTCAGGGGTGCTCAGGCGGAGATTGGTATGACTGAAGAAGCACACGGCGCCTCGCAAAAGGACGTCACCAATCCGATTCAGAGCCCGTCGAAAACCTATCATTTCTCAAGTCTGAATACATCCTCGTATCCAGTGACAACATTTAATCAGCGGAAGAAACCATTGAGGAGTGAGATAGGAGGGGTTCCGCACTGCCCCCACTGAGTTTAGTGGTACCCCTATAGATGGGAAGCCGATGGTATGTAGTTTCTCTAGACATTCAGGGCATGTGAAGAAGTTAAGAATGTTATATCAAAGTTCCGGAATGCAGCACCTGATCCACACAAACGTACAGGTGAATGGTCATGTTGTGGTCAAATTCACTCCATTGACATATGAATTGTGATATTCTCTTCTTCTTTCACCTACCTCTCCCACTAACTTCTTTTGTCCACAGCAAATAAATCCACTCATCATCTCTCTGGGCGGACATCCATAACTCCCAATCATGATGCTTGGATTCATTTTCCCAATACTCATGTGCATCAACTCCACCCTCGAAACTCAAGACACTGGCACGGCGAGAACTGAAAGGAAAAAGGAAGGAAGAAGGCTACAAAACAGAATGGGAGCCAGAGACTTGGACCAGGTACAATGGTGGAGTAAGTAGCAGCAATTTCTCGACACTGGATTTCAGTAACGGTGTTTAAAGGGCAGCTTTATGAAATATGTCAGAGCATCCCATGATGAAATGTTGGGGTAAACAAAGTTGAATGGAACAACCTCATTCACCTTTCCTATTATATGCCTACTGATGTATAAATGTACTCTTCCTTGAAGGCGAGTCCGACTTCAGTTTCTGTTTGTTCCCAAAGATGGGATATCACTGGATGTATGTGGTACATTCTCAGCATTGGTTTATGTGTTGGTCTGGCAGGTGTTACCAGACCTTCCTAACACTACTGTATGAGTAATTATATGAAGCTTGCAACTGGATCCATGTTCTTGATTTCTATTTCTCCTTCTTAGATGCTGATATTTGAGTTCCCTTGTGCAACATCCCCCTTCAAACCTCTGGCTGACCCCTGACACACTCTAACTTGAAACGTACAAGGACAGCCTGCATTTGCCCTTAAAATTCATCATGAGTTCTCTCCCTAGCCTAGCGTCAACACTCTTTAACGTAAGACTGAACGGGGTGGAGGCGGAACTGAATCGACTGAAGAATGCTGCCAAACAAAGTGAGAACTGATGAACTCATATCGTAACTCCATTGCGAAACTAACGAATAAGATGAGAAAAACCGGGCCAAGAATCAGGAAGTACACAAAGTCTATTGCCTGGAACGGCTTGCTCAATATGTCTACGACTGCACCCGCTTTGTGATAGGTCCATGGGAAAATAGTGGACACGCTGGAAAGTACTGGTTCTTAATTCTTTGTCTACCATCTTGATACCGATTGGTATCTGGCTTTCCAAAAACTCAATGGAATTTCCTCCCTTCCGTCCGGATTCAAAACCAAATTTGATAACCTCAAAAATTAGCCCAACTTCTTCTTGGGAAACCATATTGAAGATCATGTGGAAGGACTACATATGCTCTTCCCCACTTGGTATCCGATTGACATCCTCGGCGAAGGCGAGCTCAAGCATCCTCTTTCCCGAGTGCCGCCTGCAAAGCCGCTTCTGTTGATACATAGACTGAAGCACTGCGGAAAACCGTATGCCACTGTGAATGCCTCTGCTAGCTCAGGGGTCCACATGTCTTATGGCGCCCACAATATAGCAATGGATAACTAGGAGGGCGAAAAGGCATGATCCGAAGAGATAGAAATCTTCCTCAAAGTTGAATCTTGAGATATTGGTTTGGTGTGATTGACTGGCTTGGGATACCATACTGAGATGGGGATTCTCGCATGAGTTATTCGTTGAAAGGATGCCAAGAACTCCTTTGATGGGCCAAAGTATATGGATATTGAAAGCAAACGACTCTTGACAAAGGTCCATATTAGGAATTGAAATAAATCAAGTGCGATTGACAACTCCCAACTCACTATTTGCAGTGGGATACGTAATTGGCTTCCGTTTTTTGCAACTCCAGAAACTCTCAGAGCACAGCCTCTTTCCGGGACTTGGCGTAAGCTACTATATACATACGTATCGATTCTTAGTGATCGGTATGCCACGGTATCGTTTCAGCACCTACATCTTTGCAAAATGGGTGCCCTATCGATCATGAACATCACATGGCAATACCAACGAGAAAAAAAAGTATATGCATTAACCGCTAAATGGGGTATCTCTTATCGAATCACTGTCAACTGCCTTCATCTTACGAGTTTGCGTATAAATTTTCTCACGACTGACCGACGTTCTCTCATTGCATCCTTCTTATCTACCATCTCGGCCGCCTCCGCTTCCTCTGTCCGTCTCATGTCGTCTGCGAACTCTCCTGTCAAAAAGTTAGTCGATATCATTCCATCCTGATCATTAGAGAGTACCTTTCGGATGATCAAGAGATAATAGTTGACCCTCAAGCCGCTGGCATTGGTCAGAGGATGGCCCAAGACGAACCTGATAGCCAGCAAGAGCACGCGTATACATCGTTTTAGCCTTATGTACCTCCCCTTTGGCTGCAAAGAGATCGCCGAGATTCCATATAGTGTCAAGGGCTGGTCGGTATCTCGGAAGGGTCTCAGCGTCCAGTGTCTCCTCGAATCCTTGCAGCGCTCGCATGTACATCTCTTCTGATTCCTTTAGGTTCCCTTGGTCAGAGTAGAGGAGACCCAGGTTGTTGACCGTGTCGAGCGTCGAAGTGTGCTTCGGTCCAAGTACCTCCTCGTATCCTTGCAGCGCCCGCATGTACATTTCTTCTGCCTCCTTTAGCTTCCCTTGGTCAGAGTAGAGGAGACCCAGGTTGTTGACCGTGTCGAGCGTCGAAGTGTG